TAATAATAATAATAATAATAATCATGATGATGATGATGATGATATGATAATGAAATCGAAGAAACAGACATTTAATTTTTTTCCTGCCTGTTGGTAAATGTTGAGCCAATTTTCTTTTTGGCCGAACACTTTCAATGTCCATATAGATCTAGATTTTAAATACACATTTCTTTGTAGATTTTACTTATAAACATTTTGATTAAAGGCACAAAAAATAAAATAAAAAATGAAAACTTGCAGTTGTGAAGGACATTCAAACCTTGGAAGACACCAACCAGAATTTGGCGGTAATAATTTTCGCGTTGATATTTGCCCGACACCAACTCTTTCAACCACACAAATATTAGTAGATTCTACATCTATTTCAAGACAGATTATCATTTTTTTCCCACCAAAAGCAAGACAAATGAAAACGCTAGAAAAGACAATATTATAATTATTATGTTCTCTTCATTTGCTCCAAAAAATTGACGAGCGCCTGATTCAACTGTGAAAAATGGTGAAATGGTAGGGGTTTAACGCCGCTATAAACACGATTAGGTTATTTAAGAGGCGGGACCTCCAAGTTTAACGTCCGTTTCCGATAGGACCGAGGTAGTGGGAAGTTCATGTAAAGTGCCTTTCCCAAGGACACAACGTCGGACCGAGCTGAAGCTCGAACCCCCGAACCCGCAGTCTCACGATTACGAGTCTGGTAGCCTAACCATTAGGTCACCGACACCACTGATTCCACTGTGTCCTGACACATTGCTACCTTAGAATTATAAAGTTCTATCTGACATTTTTGGCTGTTACTTTGAGCATGAGGTCAGAAACCAAATGCTCTATCTGCTCTATCAAAATCATGGGAATATTCGGAGTCATTATCAAGATATTCGAAGAATTATATTTGAAAAAGTTTGACATATTACAGTATTGTGAAACTAAAACAAAAATGATGTCAAATATTATCTCAAAACTAGGTTTTGACGTAAAACTTACTAAAACAAGACCTGGGTGCACTTATGCTCTCGGAAGGGAGTTACGCTCCCACCTCCTGCCGGGGAGGCATGCCAGTTTGTCACAGTCCCTCGACCCCGCCTCGACTGTGCCCTGCATGATGGAAGTTATCTTATCACTGGCACTCTCAAAAAGAGCAAATGAATGATATATTGGTTGTAAAAATAAGTACCCGGTTTTGAGCATGTAAAACTTTGTAATTCTGTGGTAGCGACATTTATAACTGATATTATATTTTAAAAATCTTTAAAGACACATTTAATGACATCATTTTTATGTCAGTAGATTCATGTTTAGTACAATGTTATGTAAATGACTATGTATCTCTTTGTGCTTTTTGTGAATTGCATTTTGTATATTATTTTATTATGTATGTGCTTAGATCTATTTCGTAACGACGTGTAAGCGTGCGCGTGTGACAAGCAAGTAGATATGTGTTTGTGTGTGTGTGTGTGTGTATGTGTGTATGTGTGTGTGTGCGTGCGTGCGTGTGTGCGTGTGTGTGT